GGGGTGGGGTGGAGACAATTTTACGTTTCACAAAAACTTCATTTATTAACGACCATACCTCTACTGTCAAAACCATGGTCGTTAATGAATGAAGTTTTTATGAAACGTACAACTGTCTTTTTTTTCATAATTCTGTAGTTTCCTATTTGTTTGTGTTCGTATGTCATTCACTACCACTATAGTATCGAGTAATTTTATGTTTATGACTATTAGTATTACTCCCCAGTGGTTTAATGGCAAATCAGCAGGCTTACGATGCAAAAAATCAGGTTTCGAAACCCGTGGTGGACAGAGTACAGATAACCTATTGTGTAGCTTAGCGCTTAACAACAATGACACTAAATAATTTTAGTTATATTCATACCATTAAAAGTTATTCTCAGATTTTTCATTATTGTTACATGAAAACATTTGAGTTGTTAAATAAGCACTTATTAAAATATATGTATATCTCATCTTTTTATGAAAGAATGAAAGTGTTGAAGAACTTGATTATTTCACTGAAAACATCCATCAAAAGCTTCCAATTCTTGGTGACAAGTGTGATCAACATATAAACCAACACAATAGTCCAAACAGAAACAAGATAAAGGTGAATTTTACATTTGTAGAAAAATAATGTGTTTCTGTACGTTTTTAATATATCGTTTTGAACTACACCAGTTAATGATGTTCAATAACCTTAAATGAAACTAATGCCCACTATCTTGTTAATAAACACATCTCAGAATGAAAATGAAATATATAATTTGTTAATCTAAATGCTTCAAATACTTAAACCTAATTTTCTTATTTTACTAAAAAATATTTTTTTAAAGAAAGTTTAAAATCAGGTTCTATTTTGTATTTTGCTTATCAAAGTAGAAAATTTTGGTTTTTACCATCTACTAGGTTCATTTTGGTTACTTTTAAGTCAGAAAAAATATTGTATAAGTTATCTTTTGGGAGAGTTTATTTATGTAATGTTGGTAGAAAACTTAAGTTCAATGTTTTAAGGATCTGTTAAATGTGTGTAAGAATGAAATCCTTTTAAAGTTGACACTGGAAATTAACTTGAACCTGATTGTTTCGAGTGGCTTGTTTTACGAAGATAACTTTTAGGCTACATTTGTACTAGTCTTAGGAGATTTTATGATAAACAAAATCACTTTTACTATCTTAGGAATCCATCAGCAAAAGTGAAGATAACTGGTTTAATGAAGTAATGATGGATGAGGATGACTGGTTGGCTGTTTTGTAAATCTAGTTTTATACATTGAATGAAGAGATAGTGATTGTACTAAAAAATGTTATTTCTCATTCCTTAACCATAACTATTTCTGATAAATTCTAGACCTTTCAGTGTTAATTTTCCATTAAAGTATTATTTTGTACTAAATAAATAAATACTCAGATTGTGAGATGTTTACTTTCCATGAATCACTATAATTATCTTGAAATGTACATTAAGCATTTTAAAAATATGTACCATGTGATGTACATGTTTTAATGTTATAAACAATGTTTAGTAGACATCCATAGAAACCGAGGAATTTCCAAGGTGATAACATATATCAGCACTGTTGTGCGACAATATATTAGGGAAAAATTAATGTACATCAAATGATGGTAATTCTAATCTTGGATCACTTGAAAGTAAATGATACCTGGGACCTGTCTCAGGCCAGGTAAGGCAAGAACTAGGAGTGAGAGGCCAACTTAGTAGTAACTGCTAGTAAAACACTTTAAACAATTCAAGCTCTGACTTTCTTCTCTTAAACAAGACCCATCTTAGAGTTTACATCTAGGTATTGGGGTGACCAGTAGTTGAGCACCAGTTTTTCTATGATAATCCCATATCTTCAATTTCCATGAATAGAACTGAACACGGGATCTCTCACACACCAAATGAATGCTCTACCAACTTAGCTAAGTAGTTTACTTAGCAGCAACAACTAGTAAGCCACTTTTTAATCAGTGAGGTAAATTATAATGAAATAATAAAATTTGATTTACAACACTATCATTACCTTCTCTACTTGGTCAGAATCAATATAAAGGTTTGTTTGTTTATTTTAGTGCAAATTTACAGAAAGCTGTCTGGGACCTATCCAATGGAGGGAATTGAACCAAAAGATTTAGCGTTGTAAGTACGTAAATGTACCACTGACTCAGCAGGGGACTGGAAGAAGGGAGGGTATAATTGCACAAACTGCATATTTACTGTTACGTTATTCACGTTTTTATATACTTAAAATTTCAAAAGTTTCTAGCTTTTTTTGTCCTACAATATTTTCTGAGTAATGCATACAATAATGAAAACAACACTGACGTGACCCTTATAGTGGTGTTTCACGGACAGTTCACTCATAGAGTAGTTAACGGCTTAAAAAAAGCTAATAACGATGTGCTTAAACATCTTCTAGAGATACATCTGTGATCCAATATGAATAAGTAAAATGATGTACACTCAATCTGCTTTCAGCACGTAAGAAATTTCATACAATTCTACTAAAGTATCTTGTTTTATCAAAATCTGATCATAATTTTATGATTCTTTAAAAACATTAGGGTTTTTTAATTCAATATTCCAAAGCTATATGAAAATGAATATATAAATTAACACACAACATAATTTTTAGGGACAACAAGGGACCTATTGGTCCATCTAGGCTGTCCTGTCCTCTTAAACGAAATAAAACTATTAAATAAAACAACAACCTCAAAGCCAGCCCTTAATTAAGAGGTTTAAAAAATCAACTTTTTCTATGTGGAAATATCTGAACCTTCCAAAACCCCTAGGAGAGCTTTTTTTAGCTGTCACCATACAGTTATTATTATTTAAAATACTTTTTAAATGTAATAAATATAGAGATGTTAAACTGAAGAAAATACATGTTTTTCTATGAGGTCTCCTACTTTTAGCTTTATAATTAACAAACAGTGTATTTAGTGCCAACGTTTGACTAGGATTATGTACTACTAAGACAGATATAAGATTCTATTGTAACAAGAGAATGGTCTTTATCATTTCATCATGTTAATTCTAATTTGTTTGTATTGTATTCTTGAAATGATGAACATAATGTTTGTTACAGCTGAAATCAATATGTTTGATTTGATTTAACATCTAGAATTGATATTATTTTTCAAATGATTTAGTTAACCTGCCATTGAAAACCACTTAACATTTTATAGAACGTTAGTCAAATAAAATTAACTGAACGTACACAGGGTTGGTCCAATGGGGTGATCCCATACTGGAGAGGAAAATAAAAAAAATTTGTTGAATCAACTGTTAAAAGGAAAAATACATAAATGATAAACAAAATCACAATACAAATAAAATAAAAATTGCTTCCTCACAAACTGAACAAAATATGTTAGCAGACTTAACTTGTAGTAAATGTTTGGTAAAAGTTACAGGACATTATACAACATAGCACAGATAAGGGAAGAAGGTTACTTTTTCAGCAGTAAGAGGAACGTAATATCCATTATTTTCATTACATTTTCTCATGAGCTCTACAACACGCTTTCAAACATTTCTTCTGTCTAAGTACTTTTTAACAACTAAATGAACCATAATTCTAGATTTAGCACATCTACAGGTAATGAGCACTTCAATAATTACAAAAATTATTAACTTCAGCAGTATTTGTTATTACACCAGCTTGGTTGGAGAATCAGACCATGTGTTTTAAATTGTAGGTTCCAGCATTGCATTATGACCAAATTGAATATTTAGACACTGTGGCTTTAGCTAGATTGAAAATTCAGGCATTGTGGCCTTAGCTAAATCTAAGATATCAGCCTTAAAAGAATGGCTAAATGCTTAGAATCCTAATCTATAGCTAAGATATAGTGACACTGAATCCTAACCTATAGCTAAGATATAGTGACACTGAATCCTAACCTGTAGCTAAGATATAGTGACACTGAATCCTAACCTATAACTAAGATATAGTGACACTGAATCCTAACCTATAGCTAAGATATAGTGACACTGAATCCTAACCTATAGCTAAGATATAGTGACACTGAATCCTAACCTATAGCTAAGATATAGTGACACTGTAGGTAATTCAATGAAATGCGTATCTGTTGCTTTATCCTCCCATCGTATGTCAAAGCCACAAGATCTGAATCTCTAATCTAGCTAAAGCCACTATTCTGAAATATTTATTAATTTTCCTGTTTTTGAGTGTGATATGTTATATCATCTGTCAATTAAATTATGAATTTAAGAAATATAATGTCTTCTTTTTGATGATATTTTTCTGAGTTTAAAAATTGTCTAAAAGAAAACATTTTGTAGACCTTAGTCAACACATCACCATTTATTCAGAAACAATACATTCTGTTTATTTCTCTTGGCATTATAACGTTACCATTTATTTTTTATTTACCTTATATGAAGTTACATAGAAAAGGTCTTTCCATGGCTACACAATGTACACAATATAACAGCATTAATCTATACACAGACTTAACAATCATGACTTGTAAATCTGGTAAGATCACATGCAAGTGGCCCTCTTACCGTTTATATAAATATGTATAGTTAATAACTTTTAACTAACATCTTGTTGATTAAACAGTTGGTTAACTTACACTGAACAAGGACCCATATACACAAATTACAGTTTGCATAAGCTCTGAAATATGTATCTACGGTCTTTTTTCAGTATACGCTTTGAAATATGTATCTACAGTCTTTTTTCAGTATAAGCTCTGAAATATGTATCTACGGTCTTTTTTCAGTATACGCTTTGAAATATGTATCTACAGTCTTTTTTCAGTATAAGCTCTGAAATATGTATCTACGGTCTTTTTTCAGTATAAGCTCTGAAATATGTATCTACAGTCTTTTTTCAGTATAAGCTCTGAAA